AGAGGCTTTTGGGAAATCAGTTTTGATTACTAAAAGCTGTATGGATATGAGATTCTCCTATGCATACGTGATACGGATACCAGAGCAAACCAAACAGGGCCTAATCAGATTCATTTCAAGTGCTTTTGACTGCCGTTTTTCATACTATCAGGTAAGGTCATGGATGGAAGAAATTCATCCCGGTGTCAACAAGCATATAATTTCCTACATCATAGGTCTAGATAGCTTAAAAACAATGACCACGGACAATAAGGCCGCAAGATATTGTGAGGATATTAGACTTAGGATGGATGGCCTATTTGAGGAAGAGGAAATAGCTGTCCAGTTTACAAGAGAATTCATGGCCTTGTATACAAATGGCCCAGCTGGCGGCGGCGGTGTCAGGTTTGCCTTAGATCACTTGACACAACTGGATTTAAATCCCATGCTGTTTTAAACCCAGATTATTACTCTGCAGTACTGGTTGGAAGAAAGAGATCATTCTAGAGAAAGAACTGGTATCTCTCTCTCTCTCTCTCTCTCTCTCTCTATCTATCTATCTATCTCTCTCTTAGGGAATATGTTCATGTTGATATATACTCAACATTTCCAACACCTTCTTCTGTGTTAGGAGTAATTTATACAGACTTAATACTTCCATTTTAGGTGAGGCGCGAAGATGTACAATGGGGAATCACAGCAATGGGTGTCATCACCTCAAGTGCACACACTGCGAGCCTCCATAGAACAATGGGTGCATCGATATCTCCATCAATCCCCCAAGACGAAGACACATTCAAAGAACCACAGCTTTATTCCTCTCCAGCTCCATCCGGGACAAAGGTTCCCCTCTATAACATAGCCCACAGCAGGGCTGGTGACAAAGGGAATGACCTCAACTTCTCCATAATCCCGCATTTCCCACCTGATATAGAAAGGATAAAAACCTTTATAACTCCAGATTGGGTGAAGGAAGCTCTCTCCCCTCTTCTGAATTACACTTCGTTTCCATCTCCCACAGATATTGAACAAAGAAACAAATGGATAGCTGAGAATGTGAAGGTGGAGATATATGAAGTCAGGGGTATCCGTTCTTTGAACGTCGTCGTTCGCGATATCCTAGATGGCGGGGTCAACTGTTCGCGTAGAATCGACAGACATGGCAAGACCATATCAGATCTCATATTGTCTCAGCATGTCTTGTTGCCTCCATGATCCAGGTACAGATAATGTTTAATCACAACGTTTAGTTAAGTTGTCATATATTTAAGGACAATTAGTTTTTAATCTTTTTTTGGCTTTTGGAGTGATCTACTGTAACACTACAATATTCATTATTCCAAATTATAAGAATTGTAGTGAATTAAAGCGAAACAGGTCCAACTCTTTCCAAACTTTTATTTGAACCAAGTGAAACTCAATAAAATAAAAAGCTAACACCAACTACTCTATTTTTTTTAATCTTACCTACCCATGCCACAGTAGTAAAATCATACACTTAAATCCACAAATAAAAGCATGTTTGCCTCTAATAACAATTACTTGATGTGGATGTTCCAATTACATAACAATATTCTATTACTAGTGTGGCATGGGTAGCTAGGTAAGATAAATCATTTTGTGAAGGCTTTTGGAAGAGTCGATATCCATCATTATTCATGTTAATTAGTGATGTAATACAAACAAACAATTAATAGTATCATTGTTCTTATTACAGCAATTCACACTACAAGAAAAATAGTCTAAGCTAACAATTAAAAACTGTTGCTGAAAATGAAAAAACCGTTGCCTTACATCTAAGGCAACAAAAACGGAGTGTTGCATTTGCCCTTGTTGTCTTTTCTTAAGGCAACAGTTTTGATACAAAAGGCAACAGTTTATAAAAACGAGCCTAGATGCACCTAAGGCAACGATTTTTCCTAGGCAATAGATCATAAATGTTGTAATATGGTGACAGTATGAATTTGTTGCCTAATATTTAAAAATCTATAATTGTTGCCTTTGTTAGCATGTGTACCAGGTTGTTTCTTATAATAATAATAACCATATCAAACATGAGAATATCTATTGTTAATTATCTACATATAAAAAATTTTACTTCATAGAATAATTTAATATGCAATTAAAAATATCTATGAAATCATATAAGCTCATTGGTTTCACAAGACAACTCAATAAAGAATAATAATATATTTAATATGATTTGCCCAAACAATTTTATTTGAACATTCATAATAAAATATGTAGTCATTAAACATTTAGAATGACTTCTATTACTTAAATCCTTCAAAATTGCAAAATATGCATTGTTTATGAGCTTCCAGAACACCGTACACAAAAATTAACACAACCAAGTTTTTAGTATTTTGTTATCACTCCAGGTACAAAACTAAACAGAAGCAAAGCAAAAAACTAAAAAAACATATCATCATGTCTTGACATAATCAACTGGTCATGAAAACATATCATCATCATCAACAAATTGTGTTCCCTAGAAAAAAAGTAAACGGATGGTCATTACTTAAAAGAAAATAGATGAGATATAAAACAATCATGTTGCATGTATAAAATGACAAATTGAATTGAATTAAGAACATTCAAATTTAGAAATAAGCTAAGTCATTATTCTCAAAAAGTTAAGCTAAAAGGAAATCATTGGCATCAAATTAACAATTGAATTCAGTTTTTACTCGTGATTCTGACTAATAACAAAGTCCTTTTTTATCACATGCATGTTGCCACAAGCAAGTAAAAAAACCCAAACAAAACTGAGGAGACCTTAAGTGTGTTTCAAAAAAAAAAAAAGAATTACAATTCAATACCAGCCAAAAAACAAGCAAAAGGACATCTAGAAATATCATATTTTGAGCATATTTGAGGTGAATAAAGAACCTCAAGGTTCAGCACATTTGGAGATTCTAAATGATCATGATTTGGCACATGTGTTGAATCGGAAGAAGAAGAATGTATCATAGTTCCTTTACTAGCTTCAGCACCTTTGGTTGGTTGATCTCTGACCAGTAAAGAACCAAAAATACTTTCATCAATAGCAAAATTCGGACAAGTATGTCTTAATTCAGACATCAAATATAGTAAACCATTCGCTAAATCTGTCCCATCCTCCTGTCTTTTTTCTTCATACTTTTGTTGATATTTCTTTTCACACTCTTCTTCAATAGCTTGTTGCTTCAATGAAGTGTAAGAAACACCTCTTCCAAAAAGGCGTAGTCGACGTCGTTTCTCATTCTTAGAATCAAACAGTGAAGCAATGGTAGCCTCTGCATCATCATCATCATCATCATCATCATCATCATCATCATTATTACTTTGACTCCATAGTCAAAATTAATTTGGGAGTGTAATTGAAGTGGGTGGGGGACATGTTTGTGTTGAGGAAGGGTGGGGGTTTACATAGGAAATTAGGGGATAGAAATTGTCAATTTTACGAACAGGATACCGGAGCACGCTCGGATCATCTCTGATATAAGATTCCAATGTCATGTGAACTCCTCTAGTTGAACATACTAAATTGTCACACTACTCATGACGCACATCCTCCGGGATATACGAACACACAATTAAAGTATGAAGTACGAAAATATCCAAAAATGCAATTCCATTCTTCAAACTGAAGATTAAAAATTAAAATTAAAAATAATAATTTTGTACTATTCATCATGCATATAATTTTACAATTTTTACTTTTAAATGCTTAATTAATAATTTTATACTCCCTCCGTCTCCAACTAAAATCTCGTTGCGCGTTACGATGTTTGACTGAAGTTATTATCAAATTACTACCTCCGTCCCGGAGTATTTGTCCACTTTCATTTTTACACACCATCCAATACACTTCTTTAATCCATTTTATCTTGTAATTTGTTTATTAAAAAATTATAGAAATTATATATTAATAATCTATATGTAAAGACAAATCAAACAAGATCACACATGACTATATTTAGACTTACACATTGAGAGAATTTGATGAGTCAAAGTGCTTAGATGAACCGTTTCAAAAGTCAAAACTGGACGAATATTTCAGGACGGAGGGAGTATTTTATATGAAAAATTGTGTAAAATTTAAAAATAAAAATTACATATTAAAGAACTATATCAAAAGATCTACAAAACTAGAGGTAACATAAATATATTATTTTCTCAAGTAGGTGACGAAAATAAGCCAATAAAGTGAATAAAGTTTGATCTTGTAAATAATGAACAGAAAGTTTATTTGTGGACGGAGAAAGTAATTTTTAGTTGAAATTTAAAATTTTACTATATTAAAATTTTAAGTTAACATTTAAATTTTGAATTTAATTTTTTAATTTTTAGTTTTTAATATTTAATATTTAAATTTTAAATTTAAATTTAAAGTTTTAATTTTGAATTTTTAAAATTTTAATTTTAAATATTTAGTTTTAGTTTCAAATATTAAATTGCTGATTTTTAGTTTTATGTTTTCAAATTTTTATTTTAAATTCAAAATTTAAAAATTTTAATTTTTTGACTTTTAATTTTGACATTTAAATTTTTTAACTTTTAATTTTAAATCTCTAATTTCAAATTACAAATTAATAATTTTTAATTTTAAACTTAATTTAAATTTGCATATTTAACTTTTAATTTTTAATTTTTAAATTTGGCTTCTTTGATTTGTCAAAGAATTTAAAATCTATCAGAGAAGTCAAAAGTCAGCCAAAAAGTAATTTTCATAATATATATAAACTTTAAAAGACATGTTTCTTTATTATGATAAAAAAAATCCACATGATTCCATTTTGACTCATGAATTTCGAATTCTTTCTTGTATTATGGAATTAAAAATATTGAAAAATTTGGAATTCCATGTGGACATATTTTTGTATTACTAAATAGCAGAATTGAAATTAAAATCACCAATTCTAATTTAATGGCCTAAATTTCATATACCAAACGAAGCCTCTATTGAAATTCCCTACCCATGATATTTAATACGGAGTATATTGTTATGTACAACGTAGTACTAATTTTAGAGAACAACCGATATATATACAATATTTTCATACAAACCCTAAACTAAAGCCCAAAAAATGACATTATAATCTAGCCAAATTCTTGTGTGTGGTCAGGAACTTCCTCTTGTGCTAAATCAGGGAGCACTGTCTTTTGTCTTGCAGCCTATTGAAGCAATTTCCAAACACAAAGCTGACCATTTCTATCCCCAATGAATAACAATCCACCATTTGTTGCCCGAAGCGAAGGGGCTTCACCATTTGTAGCAAGTCGGCCCCGGTCAGAAAACCTAGCATGATTATCGAAGAAATTAGGAAAACCAAGAGTAGAAAAATGCGATTTCAAGGGCAGGGAGGTGGAAGGGTAGGATACTTACGAAGGGAGGTCATATAAGCGGACAAAATTGTCTTTGCACGAGCATATCAAAATAGATTTGCCTTCAGCATCACGTATTCCACAAAACGATAGAATGCCCTGAGACGGTTAAGCCCATTGTCAATCTACAAGTTAAAAAGATGCGCAGAAAGTATGCACGTAGCCACGTACACACACAAATATCAACTTACAGTCTCTTCCTTGTGCTCATAGATCACTTCCATGTTCCCACTTACAGTTGCAGCCCATACCTAGAGAAAATATGTAGAACAAAGACTGAATAAACTTCCAGAGAGAAAGCCATAAAAGGGCAAAGGCATCATCGAACTGATCAGACAATGAAGAATGAACGTCTTACTTTTATTGTGTTATCTAAGGACCCAGATATCAAATAGCTCTCCCAGCAAAGGACAGACATCACAGCACCTGCGTGCCCATGCAGCGTTTGCAAGCATTGCAAAGTTTTGAGATCCCACACCTGCAAGTGGTAAAAAAAACGATTCATAAAATTCCTAGTCAATGCCGAAACACAAAACTAGATAAACAAGATCAATATCTTTCATCGTAGTCTCAAAAAGATTTTCAACAACTTAATCATAAACACTATAATCATCATATCCCAAGTACTTCAAGTAGTTTCAATAACAAATTTTGAGAATGATGAATCATTTTTAAAAAAACTACATAATTAAATACAATGGTGTACTGCAGAACTCATAAAGATGGTAGAGACAAGAGGCCATACCCTTAATGTTTTGTCCCCAGAAGCTGAGTATAGTCTATCTGCACTCACAAGAAGTGAGAAAACAGCCAGGCTGTGACCTTTCAGTGATGCTACTAGTTCAGGTACTGCATCTGCTGAGCTGAACTTCCACACCAATATGGTTCCATCCTATAACCAATGGAATTATCAGTATTAGAGAGGTTTATTCAAAGAAGGATCAACAAGAAAAAAATATATTATTTTAGCTAGGTATAACTAAAACATTTGGCAGTATGTCAGTTACTCAGTTTGAGCTAAATTTCTAACATATTGCTCCTTCCCTACATTGGTTTTAAAAAAAAGAGTAAACATTTAGCTCCCTTTAAAAACAATTTTTGTTACGATTCTTTAAGTGAGCAATGTAAAAACTTAATGTCCCTACTCCCTATGTTCTGCACACAGGTACTCTCTGTCAAAACAAGAAGAAAATAATACATTTAACAGTACACTTTACATGGAACATTTCTATTTTTCAATGTAACCTCAATCAAAGCTATATAAACTAAAATATTTAACAGTAGCTACCTCAGTTCCAGCAAAGAGCATATTGTCATGCACAGTTATTGAATAAACTTGCCCAAATGATGCTGTTAACTCATGCATCATTTTAGTCTGAGTGTTCCATGCCTGGAATAAGTAGCAAAACAAAAAGCAATAAGCAACGATTAAGTAAGAACGCATTGGCAAAATGAGTTTGCGAGGAAAATATAATGACAAATCAATAACGGAAAAGGGGAGAACCTTAATAACATTTGGCAATCCAAAAAACACATATGGACCTTCGCTAACCAAGCACCCAATTTCGTGGTCAAACTGAACAACACCAGCACACTGCATGACATGGAGTACCCTCGAGTTTATTATGGGTTTCATTTGAAATACAAAAAAACTTAAAAGCTAGAATCCACTTCCAAAAAAAGCCGATTCAAATGATTAAACAACATACCTGACCACTGTGACAGTCCCACATGCGAACTGATTTGTCTTTGCTACCCGAAAAGAGCTGGCTGGAATCAGATGGAAGTGCAATTCCAGTAATGGCCTATAATTAAATTTTATTAGAGAATAAAATTAATAGTTAATGAATGAGTAAAGAGTCTCAAAAAGAAAAAAAGAGAAGAGGCAAATTAAGTACCATGCTATGCCCATCTAACTTTGCCAGCATGGAGAAGCCATTTCCAGATGGCTGTGCATGCAAGTCATTACGCTTGTCCCCATGGACACAACTGTCATCTACCAAGCTCTTGCATGGCTCGATTTTCGGCTTTTGATTATCTTCACCCTGAAATTCAGTTCTTCTGGTGATGGCAAGTCTCTCTTGAGTCACGGAGCAAACGTCATGTCCAGAAACTTTTTCATTGGCCGGAGAAACAGAACCTTTTTCATTGGCCGGATAAACAGAAACTTTTTCATTGGCCGGAGAAACAGAAACTTTTTCATTGGCCGGAGAAACAGAACCTTTTTCATTGGCCGAAGAAATTCCTCTCTTGGGACCTTTGGAATTAGGATTCACCCAGGTGCTTGTGGGTCGGGTAGACAGTCGAGAGATTCTTGAGAGAGATTGCTGAGGGTACGGCGACGATGGTGCTGTATGTAGATACTTGCAAGGGTTCCGGTTGCATTTTCCTTGAAGCCAAAATACACACACTCTGGTGTACAAATTATGTGCTCTGCCGATTCGCTTAAACACGGATCCCTCTGATCCCTTCATAACACCATTTGCTACCTTCACAGTCATGCTACAATAAACATAATACTAATAAATTAGGATAAACCCAAAACACAAATGACTGTAATGTATCAGTGGTTTATAGAAAGATTCCAGCCCATATTCTTATGTCCATTAAATACAAACAATTTATCCGTGAAAATTCATACTTTTCCCAGAATTCTTGAACTCAATGAAAAAAAATGAATAATCCAACGAGATCCAGTCCGAATACATCCGTGAAAACCAAAAAAAACTTTCGAAAAAGAATTACTCGTACGCATTAAAGGGGTGGCGGGTAGCTATCGCTGCTTGTTGCCGGCTAACCTTAAATCCATCAATTTATAAAACTAATAGATGAGGGTACAATTAGATTTAAAACATGTGGAATGGAAGAAGTATTAAACCCTAAGAATTGTAGTTTGGCAAA